CCTCACGCTCCACCCCTCCTTCACGCTCCTTCACGCTCCTCCACGCTCCTTCACGCTCCTTCACGCTCCTCCACGCTCCTCCACGCCTCCGTCTGTTTAAAGTCACACAGGAGGGTCCGTCACCTGCTTGACTCCATGAAGATGTGCCTGGAATGTTCCGCGGTTTGGCCTTATATATGTAAAATGTGCTCCTCATCACCTTCCACGGTGGTTGGTGGAAGGTGATGATCCAGCTGGGCTCCTAGAGGCCTGGGAGCCTGAGAGTTCTGCAGTATCTTTGCTGTTCCCAGTTCTGCACTTTTCTGGTCTGAGATGTTTGTTGTTTTTCCTGGTATCTGTTGTAGTTTCTTCCAGTTTGGGGGTCACAGCCCCGAGTGTCCGATCACCACAGGCACCATTGATGTCTTTACTTTCCAGACCTTCTCCAGCTCCTCCTTGAGCCCCTGGTATTTCTCTAGTTTCTCGTGTTCCTTTTTCCTGATGTTTCCATCTCTTGGTGTTGTGATGTTCCACCACGGCTCTGCTCTGTTTCTTATCCACCACCACTATGTCTGGTTGGTCCATCTCCATTCTGTCAGTCTGTATCTGAAGTCCCACAGGATCTTGGCTCGGTCGTTCTCCACAACCTTTGGAGGTGTTTCCCACCTTGATCCTGGGGTCTCCAGCCTGTACTCTGCACAGATGTTTCTGTACACTCTGTCCACCACTTGGTTATGTCGCTCCATGTTTGTTTCCCTGCAGCATCTTACACCTGCAGTTCTGTGCTGGACTGTCTCAGGAGCCTCTTTGCACAGTCTACACAGGAGCTTTCGTGTCTTAACATCTGTGGTCTGGTTTTGTTTGAGTCCTGGTCCTGGTCCTAGACATGTTTGAGTCCTGGACCTGTTTGAGTCCTGGTCCTGGTCCTGGTCCTAGACATGTTTGAGTCCTGGACATGTTTGAGTCCTGGTCATGTTTGAGTCCTGGTCCTGTTTGAGTCCTGTTTGAGTTCTGGTCCTGTTTGAATCCTGGTCCTGTTTGAGTCCTGGTCCTGTTTGAGTCCTGGTCCTGTTTGAGTCCTGGTCCCTGGTCGTGTCTGAGTCCTGGATCTGTTTGAGTCCTGGTCGTGTTTGAGTCCTGGATCTGTTTGAGTCCTGGTCCTGTTTGAGTCCTGGTCCTGTTTGAGTCCTGGTCCGTTTGAATCCTGGTCCTGTTTGAGTCCTGGTCCTGTTTGAGTCCTGGTCCTGGTCCTGTTTGAGTCCTGGTCCTGTTTGAGTCCTGTTTGAGTCCTGGTCGTGTTTGTGTCCTGGACCTGTTTGAGTCCTGGACCTGTTTGAGTCCTGGTCCTGTTTGAGTCCTGGTCGTGTTTGTGTTTCAGACGCAGTTGAAGAAGAGTAAATCGTTCCGTCGCTTTAAGAAACTTCAGGAGAGTCGTCCAGAGTTCAGAGGTCAGAGTCTGGAGGAGCTGCTGGAGCTTCCCCTCTCCAGGATCCAGCTGTGAGTGTCAGGACTGTCACGAGATCCAAGTCCAGAGTCTGAACCATATTTTCACGATACACACCTCACGATACGATATTTATTGTGATATTTTGTGGAGGCAAACAAACAAAACTGTGAATATTCTTCTTTTTCCTCTTGAAACGTCTCGACAAAACTTAGTCCAAGGAACTAAGAGTTAAAAGTGTAAATGAAATGGAGCAAAGGATCATGGTCTATTTGCATCT